AAACCTCTACCAACATGACATTGATTATAAAACTCTAAGCATATATGAGTAGATATTTCTAAGCATAAATGACAATCCACTATATAAACCTGACAGAACTCCTACTCCCTCTCGCACCTACTCCATATCATTCTCCTGAAAAATAAACTTAATGAAACCTTTCTCTTGAACAGATTTTGTGCGCTCCATTCAAACCATAGAAACTATTAAAAGTTATTTACTCTTCTTTCGATTGCTTCATTGGAAGGTCACCACAGCATATTGTCTGCCTCCATCTAACCCTAGCCTTGGCATCCTCCTCTTTCACTCTCCTCTACCACTAGATTCATGAATCTTTGTGGTTTTCCTCCTGCCTTGCCTACTCCAACATAGCCCCTATCCCTCCTCTGTGCATCCCAAACCACATCAGCCTTGATTCTCTAGCTTTGTCTCCAAACTGCTCCACCTGAGCTGTCCCTCTGATGTACTCATTTCTAATTATGTCCATTCTAGTCAGTGAAGACCTTAACATCTTAAGCTCTGTCACCTCCAGCTCAGGCTTGTATCTTTTTGTCAGTGCCACTGTCTCCTAACCATACAGCATGGTAGGTCTCACTACCAGATTGTAAACCGTCCCTTTCAGTCTTACTATGATTTTCTGTCACAAATCACTCACTGTTCATTGCTTTGGATGCTTTACTTCAGATATTGAACAAAGGTCGCATGATGCAAGAAAAAGGTATATTCCTTATAATGACCTAGTTTTTAGTTTGTTTGAGCTAGCTTTTATAATGAAGTACTGTCAATAAGAATTTTTTTTTTTTAGCTTTTTCAACAGTATTTAGTTAGGATTGGGGGAGGCAATATCAGTATTGATTTTGACTATTGAGCTTCACAAAATAAATGTTACTGTATTGTAAAATCAATATTGTGATACTTTGCTTGGTGATACAGTATCAATACAGAGACAGTAAATATTGATACTGATATGATGCAACCTTACTGCATCTACAAAAAAATCTATCCATAAACATGAAAAATGAAAAAACAGTGGCTGACTGGTTATGTATTGAATTATTTCACATTCTGTGACTTCTTGCAACTTCTTGTGACTAGATGGTTGCCCAAAGCTCAAGGGTACTCACAACCCCTTATGATTGCAAGGAGGCAACCTTTCTGCAAACAGTCTCAGTCTGACGAGCAATGACTGCAATCACTTTCTTAGAGATTGTCAAATAATTACTATCTAATCGATAAAAACAGACAGACGTGCCAACATGTTGCCATCAGTCTGAATGAGCCTTTGTAAAATAGAGTCAGACTGATAGAGTCAGACTGTCTTCATCTTACAGTGTTAGTATGCTTGATATGCTTGAGAGGTGATCAACTGCAACATGTATTATTACAATACTCAGGACATCACAGAATGTTAAAAATATCAAAAATTTCATACTGAGAATCAAGTATTGTGATAATATGGAATCACGAGATGTCTGGTGATTCCCACCTTTAATAGTTATACATAAATAAGAGATAAAATGTTTGCCTATTTTTCAATTTGTTATAAACAACATAAAAAACTATAACAAGATACCCTTACTTTTACGGTGTAAGTGAAATCAGGATAAATCTATCTAGGTCACACGAGCTGGTTCAACCTGATGCCATTTATCCTAAAATAAGAACGATCCAATACTCCTTTTCTTCTGATGGCTGGAAATCCTCTATTCTCACTCGGGCCACTGCGCATGCTCTAAGCAAAGAGAGGCGGGCTAGGAGGAGGTGGGTCGACCCGCTGTAGTCGAGTGTGTGTCGGTGTGTGTGTTCGTCTCAACGTAGCACGAAACGTGTCTCCTCTCAGCAAAGACACACAAACGTGAGACGTGCTAGATAACGTTTTTGTTTTTTTTCTTGGTTTTGAAAGTTTTCTTTTTGCCGCCTTAAGATTGTTGCGATTTTATACTATGTATATTAAAACATTCCGCTTGTAAAACGTAATATTTATCCGCCAGGAGCAGCCGACTTCGTTTCTACTAAAGAGTGTCCGCTTCTCCTCCCCTCGATGAAGCGCTGCGATGCCCTCTGATTTTATATCCCTCCTTAGCTCGGATATCGACCTCAATTCCCCCAAATCTCTATACTCTAAAGGTAAGATTTATCTAAAGGAAGGTTACTGTGAGGTCGCTAATCCGTTTTGTCCTTGTCTAATGGGAACTAATATGATTGTCTTGATAGCTCATGTTAAGCTGCTAGCTAGCAATGGTTAGCCTCTTTTCTGCTAGTAGCAAGACTAGCTAGCATAGTTAGTCAGCTCGACTACCCTTGCTGGTTAGTTGTCCATGTCACATGCGTGGAAAAGCATGGTATGTTAGAATAGTAAAGTAAATATAACAACAATTATGTGTGTTTTTTGGTTACACTTGTCATGCAGATTGATGACTAGCATCATTTTAGTTGCCTATATGAGCTAACACAGCTTTGTGAGGTCGCTGCCTACCCACCACATTGTTCCGTGGTTTAAGGTACTTAAGTAGTGCTCGGGTTCTGCAGAGGTG